AAAAAAAAAAAAAAAAAAAAAAATTAGCTGGGCATGGTGGTGCGCATCTGTAGTTCTAGCTACTTGGAAGGCTAAGGCGGAAGGATTGCCTGAGCCCAGCTGGTCGAGACTGTGGTGGCCGTGAGTGTGCCACTGCACTCCATGCTGGGTGACAGAGTAAGACTCCAACTCAGAAAAAAAAAATCGAGGCTCAGATACATCAAATAATTTTTACAAGGACACTCAGCTAGTGAAAGGCTAAGGGGAATTCCAGGCCAGTTATGTGAATCAACCTCTCCTTTCCCTTTAAAATTCAGCCTGAAGGGTCTCTCTATCACATCCTGAACCCTGGTGAACCTCCTCAGAGGGAAGGTTCCCACAGTGCCTCCATGAACAGGGGACTAAAGCAGGTGTGGATGTCCCCAGGCCTGCCTGCTCTCTGGCCTTCCTGCCAGCCTCTCTGCGTCCTGGAGTTAATGAGGGGGAGAGGGAGGAGCCACAGGTCCAGCAGGGGTTAATTACAGGCGAACAGAGGCCCAGGAGAGGGCCTGGCTATGACAAGAGCTCAGACTGGGGACCAGGATCATGTCATAGAGAGGCAGTTTCCATCTCCGTATGGCCCGCCGTCCTGTCTCCTATGAAAACCTAGAGCTGAGGGCATGGAAGAAGGGAGGGCAAGATCTGCCTGTCTGTGTTTTCCTCCTCCCCCCCCAGGACCATAACTCCATCCTCCTGGTGCAGCCAGGCCAAGAGGGCAGGGGACCAGACAGACAGCACAATAGGGGTCAGGGTCTCCTTGACACAGCTTTCCTAGGATGGGAAGGAAGCAGTGGCTTCTCAGCGTCAACACAACTGTTCTCATGGAGAGATGTGTTGTCTGGGTTTATTCTCAACTAGTCCTTCACATGTGAACAGAGTAAGTTAGAGCTGTGGATAATGCTCCCTGCCACATCATCAGCAAGCTGTTTTTTTTTGTTTTTTTTTTTGAGTCGGCAGAGTCTCACTCTGTCACCCAGGCTGGAGTGCAGTATGGCACGCTGCTCACTGCCACTGCAGCCTCAACCTGCTGGGCTCAGATGATCCTTCCGCCTCAGCCTTCCAGGTAGCTGAAAACACAGGCATGCACCACCACACCTGGTTAATTTTTTGATTTATTGTAGAGACAAGGTCTTGCCATGTTGCTCAGGCTGGTCTCGAAGCCCTGAGCTCAGGCAATACTTTCGCCTCCGCCTCCCAAAAGTGCTGGGATTACAGGCTTGAGCCACCGCACCTGGCCAGCAAGCTATTTTTATTAGGTATTGGTATAACATCTAGACAATTATTTCTTTGGGTGAGGAAGGAGTAGAGGGGAAGGGAGGCCAGGCTAGTGTTCCTACTGTAATTTATTTCAATTCAGGAGTCAGGTGTTGGGTCCCTACCTGGTGCCATGTCCTTTGCTAGGTGTGGGCTGGGGATCTGCTCACGTGTCGCTCAGCTGGGAATCACCCTGAGGCTGCAGGCCTTGGGGGTGGCATCATGCAGGGGTGGGGCAGGGCGGGAAGGGGTTGCTGAGCTGTTTCTCCACCTCTGGCCCTTAAAGAAGATGAAGGAGAGCAGCATTGATGACCTGATGAAGAGTCTGGACAAAAACAGCGACCAGGAGATCGACTTCAAGGAGTACTCGGTGTTCCTGACCACGCTGTGCATGGCCTACAATGACTTCTTCCTAGAGGACAGCAAGTGACGGGGGCTCCCCTTTGCCCTCATCCTCAGCCTCTTGTCCTGTGGCCTCTGACAGGAGCTCTTCGGTCCCATCCCCATGCCTTGCTCTCCTTTCCATATGGGTCCTTCTAGCAGAGAAAATAAAGATTTTCCATTCCGGGTGTTGGGAGGCTGGTTTTGAAGGTGTCTCATCTGTCCACCTTGGCTGGGCATGGGGGGAGAGTGGGGGAGGGATGGGGGAGGGGGGTAGCTTCTCCTTGAGTGGGTTGGGCGACCTCTGGGTGTTTAGGGTCCTGGGCTGCCACTCTGCTTCCTGTCCTTCTTCAGTGTGGTCATCAAGGAGTTTGTCCTGGCCTCCTGGACAAAGGGGAAGTCAGATCAGGCTTTTGCTTGTCTCCCAGAACTCTGCAAAGATGGAGAGATGGAGAGAGAGAGAGAGAGAGAGAGAGAGAGAGAGAGAGAGAGAGAGAAGAGAGTCTGACCACTGAGGGAAAGTACTTTGAGAGAGGATTCCAGGAGGGATTGGGGTGTGGCTCTTGAGGGCTGCCGTGGGCAAGCAGGTCTGACAGGTCCCTAGCTCCTAGCAGGCTACCCCAGCAGCCTCCAGCCAGCCCCCTTTCCTTCTCTTTCCTTTCTGTGTTAGAGCACCGCCATCATCGATCTCTGGGGCAATGCGCTTGTGTCTCTCCATCTCATCCTCTGGGGCAATGCGCTTGTGTCTCTCGATCTCACCCATCAAAATATTTTCTCAAGGGAGAATGTGGAAAACTTTTCACTCAAGGGTAAATAGCTAATGATACTTACAGGGCTTGGCTGGGACGTGTGTGCACATTAACGAGCAAGGTGCTAAAAGGGTGGAATTCCGGGTAGCGGAGGGGGAGGGGTGTGTGGGGGTGCCGGCAGGAACTTGATGCCGGTGGAGGATGGGCGCTCTAGGTATCCTTCACAGCTTACCCTGTAGACCACTGGCTGCGCCCCCTCCCTCATCCAGGCTTGACCCTGAACACCCTCTGGGGAGCACCAGATCCTCTGGGACGCCCACCCCCACGCTGACGCCACGCTTCAGGGACACATTCGTGCTCTGGCAGGCAGAAGGCGCAGGAAGAGGCAGGAGGGACCGCCACCATTCTCCTTCTCCTCTCCCCCGTGGAGTGTCACGAAGCGCAAACCGGGCGACGGAGACTAAGGGGGAACTCGCCATGCCCGGCTTGCCCCGGGCTCCCCCATCCCCGCCCTAACCCGGAACA